GGGAAAGAGAATGCTGTTTTCCCTCTTTTTCTCGCCTTTTCTCTCTATCCAAACAGAGGAGAGAGTTTCCACGATTTTAAATCCAGAAAAGAGGCAGAGAAATCACGAAAAAAGAGTTCGATAGCACGGAAACTTTCTAATGAATCCAATAAGAAACCCCCCAAAAAATTTTCTTGTGGATTGAAACTGAAACCCCAACCACCAGTTCAACTGCTAAGTCCTTTTCCTCACCGATAGAGCTGCAAAAATGTCCAAAGAGCACAACAAGAAACACGACGCAAACACACGCGAGGCTGAAACTGAAACGGAAGACCCTGGAAAATCACTCCAAACGCACTTTTTTCCGGGAAAGTGACACCTATTTTACCGGGAAAACGATCAACACACCCAGAAGCTATCCGCGGAAACACGTTGGGATCTAAACGTATTAACAAATACCCAGATGAATTAGCGTCTCGAAAACACAACGTGGAACCGAAAAAGAGAGAAAAAAAAATATTTTTTCTTGGGAGAAGAATCCAATGCTAGCGCATGGAGTTGTGCAAGGACAGGAGGAAGAAATAGGTCAGAAAAAGGGCTCGCTTTTGGAAGAAAAGATCACGACTTTGAATTTGTGAAGATAGATTATTATTATTATTATTATTAAAGCAAATTAATATATTATGAATGGATTAATGAAAATAATTTTTAAAATTTTACTCTCTTATAAAGGTAATATTTGTACTAGTTTTTTAGTTTTGCATCATATTATTTGATCCAGTTTTTCATCTCAAATAGATTAAAATATTGAAGTAAAAAATTAACCATTATATTTACCAATAAAAAATATATAAAAAATTAAAATTTCAGTTTTGATATAGTTTGGATGTATTCTATACTTTTCAACTGAATTATTCAAATAAAATTTCAACGTGTTTGCTTAATTGGCTTTAAAATTTTGGGAAAATATATTTAATAATATCCATTTGAGCGTGATAAATTATTAGAACAAAGTTATTCTTATGTAGATCTTAAACATTTTTTATCAGCTTAGTAATAAGGTAATTAAATTAGTTAGACCCGAAAAGAGCTTACAGCTGGCCATGACGAACGGTGTCGGGGACATGCCACCATGATTAACTGAATTAACTACCTATCCAATAATGGAGGGAATACTTAAATTAATTTTGCTTAAATTTATAAAATTAAATATTTTCTATACCCGTTAAGATTCCATATTGTTTTCTTTTCGGTATAAATACTCGACATTTTATAAAATCAATGTTTTTTCGTTGCATCACTCCGAATATTGACACTCACATAGATATATAATCCATATAAAATTAATGAATTAGTTTTAAATATTTAAATTTATCCATATAAAAATTCATTAAAATTTATATTAATTTATTGTATTCATTGTATTGCTAGTGTTTCATATTATGTATATATATATATATATATATGTGTGTGTGTGTGAATAATAAATGATATTCAAAGTCAATAAAATTTTTTTGTAATAAAAAGCAATAAACCATATAAACGTACCGTTTGAATTATTTACGGTGTTTTGCTACATATAACGCAATCGTATTTTCAATGTTATAATTATTATTCGTATTATCATCATATCATTTTATTGTCTTTTTATGCCGACCATATTTTTTCTTTATTATCCAATTACGTCCCCCGTGAGACGATGAGACATCCACATGGCATTGTATTGTTTTCTTTATTTATTATTATATCTATATTTATTTATTTTCCAAATTTTGTTCACGCAATAGCGTATGATTGCGTTAGGTTTATTGTTCTGTTTTTTCCCTTGATTTTTTTCATAAATATTTACAATACAAACGTGTGATTTTTTAATTTTTATCACTATTTTTTTTAAATTTATTGTTTTCCATGTTTTTCTCTTATTTCAATATATCTTACAGAATGTTTAGAATGAATATTTTTCTATTATATATTTATGGAATGGAAATTATAATTTATACCCTTTAGCTTTTTCAAAGAGTGGATGGATGAAAGGTGATGAATTTGATAAAAATATAAATATGTCTATAATTTGAAGTCTGTATATATATATTTTTTGTATCTTATTTAAAAATATATAAATAAAATTAACGTAAACAGAATAATCGTTTGACTTAATGAACGGTCCCAAAAGAAAAAAAGGGGGCATAAATAAAGGCTTGGCAACATTCTTTGATTTCGGGCCTTGTGGTCTTGGACATTGCCTTTAAAATTGTGAAAGGTCATATGCTAATCCTTTTGAACAAACGTTAAATACTATGTACAATTTTTTTTTTTGTATATCTTTTTTCCAATTTGGACATACCTGCCCATTTTAAATATTGAAAATAATATTTATATACATATATTAAAAATGGGCCATTCTTGCTAGATTGGGCCTCAGGTTCTCTTTTACTTCGAGGACAAGGGCTTGAGGCTTTGATAACGTTGAGGGCCCACTTAAAAGTCCTTGTCTTTTAGACGCTTTGACGTTTTTCTCATTCTTTAAACAACTGTGTCCCGTTTTTGAACTCTGCGAACGACTTGAAATTACATCTCTGTCGAGACTAAATCCCATCCACCTCCCCTCCGACTCACCTGTCATCCTTCTGTCATCGAGATCTCTCTGTCTGCGTTACGACGAGAAATCTCTGCAGTCTCCCGCAAGTTAACGACGGTCGAATATCCCGGTGAAGATGAACGACGCCGATGTCTCGAGTCAGATCCAGCAGATGGTGAGGTTCATTCGCCAAGAGGCGGAGGAGAAGGCCAACGAGATCTCCGTCTCCGCTGAAGAAGTACGATCTCTTAGCCCTGTTCCATTTTTTCGATCTTCGGTTTCTATGAATTTCAATTGGTTTGTTGTTTCATTTTGTTGTGTCGATCTGTGAAGATTATATTTTTTTTGGTGTTGCGGAGACAGTAGCGCAATTTTCTGATTCCAATCGATCCGGATATTTTGAATCGACGCAGGAATTCAACATCGAGAAGCTCCAATTGTTTGAGGCGGAGAAGAAGAAGATCAGGCAGGAGTTCGAGAAGAAGGAGAAGCAGGTCGAAGTCCGCAAGAAGATGTGAGTTCAGTTGATTAACCGATCGATCTGTTTTGTGAAACAGTATTTGGCCCTTCAATCATTATTTAAGTTGGATCATTTTCTGGAGCAAAATATGTCTGACACTGAAATTGAGAAGTGTTACAGCCGTAGGCTCGTGGTTTAGATCCGCAGTGTTCACTTGATTTGAGCTAAATCTGTTGAGTTTAATCTGGTAGATACACTATTGATAACAGTTCTAGCACTCTACGTCTAAATCTTTCTAGTTGACAAGTAGTCATATCTTATATGATTTTTTTTTTGTTTACTGGGTTCTTCTGAATCTCTATATTGAAATGTTTGTAAAAACTGGGAAGCGTCATACGGTTTTCGGGGTCTCTTATCCTGATCTCCTAGCTGAATATGTGTCTTTTTCTTTGGCTTTTGATTGTGAAGACAGTAATCACTTTCTTTTAGCATCCAAATGTAAAGTTGAGATATTGTGTGATTTTGTTATTCCATTTAGAAGCACCTCAGTGTCTCAATTTTGGATGAATAACTGTATCATACTTGTTTGTTCAGTGAGTACTCTATGCAGCTGAATGCCTCCAGGATTAAAGTTCTTCAAGCACAAGATGATATAGTCAATGCCATGAAAGATAATGCATCGGAGGAGCTTCTGAATGTCAACAGTGATGATGATGCATACACACAACTTCTCAAAGATCTGATTGTTCAGGTCCGTAAACTCGAACAAAGTAGTGAGGGCCTCATTGTTGATGCTATCAAATGTTATTCAATATCAAAAGCCTGATGTTTCTTGTATATAATAACCTACTGGCATTTTGTGAAGCTGCTTATGTCTCGAGGATTGTAGATGTTATCTTTGGTTTGATGTTATTCTATTTCTTTTAATATATGATTCGTTGGGTTCTTCTGTGCTAGAGTCATTTCTCCTTTCCCAGAAGCTTTTGTGGTCTTAAAATATTTGGTATTATATTGTTGCAGTGTTTGCTTCGGTTGAAAGAACCTTCTGTCTTGTTGCGTTGTCGTGAAGAAGACTTGAGCTTAGTCGAGTCCATCCTCGATGATGCGAAGGAGGAATACATTGCTAAAGCCAATGTTCATGCTCCAGAGATCATTGTAGACAACCAAGTGTACCTTCCACCTCCTCCTAAGCACCAGGACGCTCTTGGTCTCTACTGGTAATATCTCTTTCTCCTTGTTGATGTACACATTCAGCAAGAATCACAACCTTCAAAACCCGTATAACAGAAAAGGAATAGAAATAGAAAAACTTGAATGATTTTAATAGAACTGATTTTGTTTGAAAAATTAGGTATTTGCATGATGGGTTTTCTTTATGTTATTGCATAAATGTAACTGCAATAAAGTTGTCTATTGTAACACATAGATGGTACTGATAAAGTTATGTATGGTGACAATTTTTTGCAGCTCTGGGGGAGTTGTATTGGCATCTCGTGATGGGAAAATCGTGTGCGAGAACACACTTGACGCCCGTTTGGATGTAGCCTTCCGTAAGAAACTTCCGGAGGTTAGTATCTATTTCCGGATCAGAACAGTTTCTTTCATCATTTGCAAAAACAACCATCGCCTCTATTGTTCATTAGCCATATCTATGTCAGGTGAATTGATAAGAGTTGCTAATTGCCTTTGCAGATCCGTAAGTCGTTGTTCGGCCAAGTTGCTGCCTACTGAGGCAAACCCGGCTCAAATCCGGTTAGGGTTTTTTCCGGTCATCCCCTCGCTTTTCACAAACACAAACCGGAAGCCCAAATCAGAGTCTCTGTCCGATCATTCACCGTGTTGGAGTTACCTTAACCTAATATGATTCATCCGCATTCGGGAAATCTTTCTTTCTTTCTTTGCTGGGTATCTAATGCTCGGGGAACAATACCTTAAACTCTTCAGTCGCTCTTTGATTCGTTTCTCGGTACATTATTTCATGGCTTGTGGATGTTATGGGGAGTGGGTATAGAAAATGAATAAATGAATGGAAAACTTTGTCTAAACAAATCTTTACTTTTGTCTTTTTTATTTAAGGATTCATCTAATCTCTTTTGAACAGTTCATACAATTATAGACAGTCTTTCCAAAAGATGAATTGCTTTATTACTTTCACAAAATAACATAGATATCTATCTTGTTTGAGACTAAATTATTCAAGATTTTTTTTCTCAATTACATTTTTTTTATAAATTTTAAATACCGAAATAATATCAAGTTTCAATGATAGAAAATGACAATGTGATGTATTTTTACAACTTCAATAGCCATGTTCGTATCGAGACCCGAGAGAATAGGAGTTTAGGACCAGACATCGCATACAAGGGCTGGACAAAATAACCGAACCCGAATAATCGAACCGAACCCGATCGATAAATATCCGAACCAAACCGAACCGATTAAAATAATATACCCGATTGGATATGAATATTGCAAATCCGAAATACCCGAACCCGAAATAACCGGACCCGAAATAACCGTAAATCGAATAAACCAAACTCGAATTAACCATAACCGAAAATATCAATTTATTCATGTATATATCATCAATTAATATGTAATATATTCTAAATCTAATTAGAAAAAATAGTATAATGATATTGTTTTAAAATCATAGTATATAAAAAAAATGAAATAAGCATGTGTTTTAATGTTGTTTTTGTTATTTTTATAAGGTAATTGTTTGAATTTTTTTATCGTTTTTTTGTTTGGATAAACCAAACCGAACCCGATCCGAACCAAACCGAACTCGAATCCGAACCGATTAAAATAATATACCCGATTGGATATAAATATTTCAAACCCGAAATACCCGAATCCGAAATAACCGAACCCGATTAAACCGAACCCGACCGATCGACCGGCTGGACCAGACCGTTTTTGATAAAAATAGGAGTTTAGGGTAAAAAACATAAAATTAAAGAAGTATTGGGGAACTGAATTTAACAAACTCGGGAGTAATTACCTCCGCTGCGTTCCGGCCCGAAGGTAGTTTTGTCTTCTTTTACATCAGGAGCAGCTTTGTTATACGTTCTTGCAGAGATTGACGAAGGAAACCTAAAATTTATTGTCCTGAGAAATCAAATCAGCAATCTTTTTCGCATCTCGCGAAGAACCCATGATTTTTTTCCTGCAATCTCCTTGACCCATTCCATTTTTTTCGTGTTCCAACACTAACGCGACGAACGGGCCCCTTTTCTCTGAGTTAGTCTCTCTCTTTCTCTCACCCATTCTCTAAGAAAATTTTCCTGTTTGTTTACGTGATATTTTGGAGATTATGTGTTGAAAGGCAGGGATTGGATACTGGTGGATCGCAGTTTTATTTTCGGAACAATCAGGGGTTTAGGGTTTTAGAGTGTTATTCTTTTGTCTATTGATTTTGTTCTCTGATGGCTGTTTTTGAAATTCAATCCCCAAATCGAATGACGCCCTTTTTCCTTTTTATGTAACACGCAGAGATTGATACTTCACAGATATATGAATGGCCTGGAGACAGATCGGGAAGAAGGTAAGCGTCCTACTCACCATTCTTCCCCGGCGAATTCTGTCGAAATTGCCTTTGTTTTCTTGTCTTAAGGAATTTGCGAAAAGGTTGTAGCTTCTATGTCATGCAGGCGTTTTGTATATTGACTAATTTCATCTGCTCTCGTTGTTAAACCTGTTGATCTTTTCCTGTTTTATCCTTTTGGATATGTCTTTGTCGCCACTCTTGTTATTTCATATACTGAGTCTCTCAGGTTGGTTCAGAGCCATTCTTGATCCGCCTGTTATTTAGTTTCAAAGTCTCTCAGATGTTCTTCCTCTAGAATTAAGTCTGCATTTTGGATGAATTTGATTTTTGGTTTTGCTAAGTATTGATCAACTGTTGTTGGATTCTTAAGTTTTTATTGGTGCAACAGTTTGTTATAACTAAGGAGGAAGTCGGGTTTTCTCCATTCTTGATTGACATCTTTCTTGTTTCTTCATTTACCTAAGTACCTTTGGTTAATGACGAAATCTTCAAATATTTGTTGTTTCACTCCTCCATTATTCAGCTCTGGGAATTCGGTTTAGGCCTTTAACCTCCGAATCATTTAGCTCTGTTTTCCGCTTTGTTTTGTGGTGAATTTTTAGCTGAATTGATTTGGATTTAGCATGAGCAGGTCGGGCCAGGTTGGGTTATTAGGATTCGTATCGATGACAATAACTTTTTTGCCCGAGTTTTCTCTGCTTTCAATGGGTTGACAGTATCATTTTTCCTCTGAAAACTCAATTCCATGCAAATGTTTACCATTTTCCCCAGGGCATCCATTCCTCTGTTAACAGAGGTTCCATTCTTACACGAGTAGCATCTACCGAGACACAGATCACCTCGTGTGTTTCAAGAGGCACTTCTGAATCAGTCGATGTTTCGTCAGCTCGGTACATTAATGGTAATCTTAAAAAGGTGTTTGTGCTATATATAGACTATATTTCTTGTGACCTGATTAGCTCTGAAACTGCAATTTTCTGCCTTCCTTTCCTGGATTTAGGATTCAGGTTTAGCTCGTTATCGAGCTGCTCTTCTGGTCAAAACTCTTTTCCAACAGAAACATCCTCAAGGTAAGTTGTTCTAATTTCTTCACTTTCTTGTTCGTTTCATCCATGAGATGTTCATTTGAATCCTAAGTTTCAAAGTTTGTTATGTCTCAATTTGGTATTTACATTTTACTGTACTGAAAGGTAAGATTTTGATCTTGTAAATTCAAAGTATTCGTCTTTTTTTTTGTTCGTCTGCCTGGTTATAGTTCAAACCCATTTCTGAATCTTGATCAGGCATTTTCACGCGACCCGAGAAACTTTAGCCAATAGAAGTCATGCTGATATGTTGAATCAGCGTGCCCGGAAGAAAATTCATCTGAAAAACAAAGGAAAATTTTCGAGACGGGAAAAGAAGTCTGATCAGCCACCGGTTGAAGGTGTCTACGTGCCGCCTAAGCTTAAAAGATCAGCCAAAGGCTTACCGGACAAGACAATCGACATTTTCGAAGGCATAACACTACTCGAGCTCGCCAAGCGTACCGGTGAATCGGTCTCTACTCTGCAGAGTATTCTTGTCAATGTCGGAGAAAACTTTAACTCGGAATTCGATACCCTAAGTATCGATGTCGCCGAGCTCATTGCAATGGTAGGTAACAATGTTTCTGAAAACAGTTATCTGAACCTTGCAAACACTCAATATACACAATTTCTACTAGTGGTGGCCATTTCAGGTTTCGGTTCGGTTATATTCGAGTTTGTTTGTTTCAGTTTAGTTATGCTTCGGTTTTTGTTGATAAAAATATTCATCCTTCAAAAAGAATTTCGGTGTTTTCAGTTATTTTTTATTCAATTCAGTTCAGATTCGATTTTTTGGTTTTAAAGAAATACCCATTCGAGTTTTATATTGGATAGCTTTGATTATTCGGTTATTAATCAAATTAGCCACCCCTAATTTCTTTTTGTGTTTTTTACTGCTTCCTCTGTTTTTCTTTCTCTTATCAGGAAGTCCAGGCCAATGTTAGGAGGCAACACTCTACCGAAGGAGCGGAAGTTCTCCCGAGACCCCCGGTTGTAACTGTCATGGGCCACGTCGATCACGGGAAAACCTCCTTGTTAGATGCATTGCGTGAAACCTCGGTAGCAGCCCGAGAAGCTGGGGGAATCACCCAACACGTTGGTGCTTTCGTCGTGGGCATGTCCAAAGGCGCTTGCATCACGTTCCTTGACACTCCCGGCCATGCTGCTTTCAGCGCGATGCGTGCTCGGGGAGCCGCCGTCACCGATATCGTCGTCCTGGTCGTTGCCGCTGATGACGGGGTGATGCCTCAGACGCTCGAGGCCATAGCACACGCTAGAACCGCGAATGTCCCGATCGTCGTCGCAGTAAACAAGTGTGATAAACCCGGAGCAAATCCCGAGAGAGTCAAGGTTCAGCTCGCCTCGGAGGGGTTACAGTTAGAGGACGTGGGGGGAGACATTCAGGTTGTCGAGGTTTCGGCGATCCAGAAAACAGGTTTAGAGACGTTGGAGGAAGCGTTACTTCTCCAAGCCGATGTGATGAACCTAACCGCGAGAGTGGACGGGCCAGCCCAAGCGTACGTGGTCGAGGCTAGGATAGACAAAGGGCGTGGTCCGTTGGCCACGGCGATAGTAAAGGCCGGGACTTTGGTGTGCGGTCAGCACGTAGTCGTGGGGTCCCAGTGGGGAAAAATCCGGATTTTAAGAGACATGGTTGGGAAACTAACCGACAAGGCAACACCCGCTATGCCCGTCGAGATCGAAGGGCTGAAGGGTCTCCCTATGGCCGGCGACGATATCATCGTCGTCGAATCCGAGGAACGTGCTAGGATGCTTAGTGAAGGGCGGAAGAGAAAGTTCGAGAAAGATAGGCTGAGGAAGGCGATCGAGGAGAGAGCAGAGGAAGCCGAGACGACGGGGGAACCCGGAGAAGTGATCGATAGGATCGAATTGCCAGTAGTGGTGAAAGCCGACGTGCAAGGCACAGCTCAGGCAGTGGCAGATGCCTTAAGAACCCTAAATAGCCCTCAGGTGCGTAAAAATTTGTCCATTGTTACTGTTTCACGTGGTTATTATTATCCATTCCTGTCTGAATAATTTTGCTTCTTTCGGACAGGTTCTTGTGAATGTTGTTCATACCAGTGTTGGCGCGATATCGCAGTCTGACGTGGATTTTGCGCAAGCCTGCGGTGCGTGTATCGTCGGTTTTAACGTTAAGAGTCCGAGCTCTGTCACTCTTGCCGCGGCCAAAGCCACCGTCAAGGTACCCCGTTCTATCTATTATACCAAACTTTCTTCGAGTAACCGAGAATACGAAGGCTGGATCATATGGTCTCTTTGTGTTCATGGAGACGTGTTTCGTGTGTTCGTCGGTGAAAATGTGTTGTCGGAAAACCCGCATCGTTCACAAATTATGAAATCTTCCGTGAAAACGCGGAACTGGTTGAGAAGTTGTAACTAAATAGAGGTTATTACTCCGGATAACACCAATCTGATCCATTTGCGGGTTACGAATCGATTTTAATGGTAAAAATGTTGAATTTTCAGAGAAAACGTCAGTTTTTCGGTTACTTTACATTCGGTTCGGGTTCCTTTTTTGGTTGTAGAAAAATTATACACATTTGGTTTTTATATCGGGATCGGTTTGGTTATGGTTATGTGTTATTCGGTTTGGATCCGATCGGTTTATGCGTAACCGAACCCAATTCCCACCTCTACTTGTAACTATGTAGGGATTGTTATTCTCAGGTGTGTATACCGAGTTTTTTATACGGTGGTGATCTGACTCGTGAGTTTCCGTTGATTTCTGTCTTTAGACGTTCCATCACCGCGTGATATACCATCTTCTGGAAGACGTCGGGAACTTGATCGTGGAGAAGGCCCCGGGTGTCGCCGAGACGCAGGTGGTCGGGGAAGCCGAGGTGCTCAACTTATTCAAGATCACGGGGAAGAGCAAAACGAAAGGAGAGGAAGTGAATATCGCGGGTTGCCGAGTGACCGACGGGCGAGTCACCCGAGCGGCTACCATGAGGATTATGAGGAGCGGGGACGTGATATTTGAGGGCCCGTGCTCTTCGCTGAAACGGGAGAAACAGGACGTGGATCAGGTTGGGAAGGGGAACGAGTGCGGGCTCGTGATCGGGGAGTGGAACGATTTCAGGGTCGGGGACGTGATCCAGTGCTTGGAGCCAGTGATCAGGAAACCCAAGTTCATTTCTTCCGAGAGCGGAGCTGTGAGGATTGAGTGCTGAAGAAATGGAAAACCCTAATAAAACCCCTAATTTTTGCCACCGTTTATGAACTTATTAACAGGATTTTTTTTTATAGATCTATTTCTTATTTATGGGGAAGGAGAAGAGCGAGCCATCTTGTTGACATTTTTTTTTTCTGAGGCAACACTTGTGAGAAATCCTGCAATTTTGCATGTTGAATTTAGGACTATTATGAGTATCCGAACATATTGTCTCGGATATCTGCAATCAGGGGTGGGCGATTCTTCATAATCGAACCATATCGGGGTTATTTGTCTGTTTGTTTTAAAAAATTATAGATATAAATTTATATAAAATTATTATATATTTTGTAAATTTAAATTATAGTATTGCATAGTTATATATATAAGAGAAGTGAATAAATGAAAGAATATAAATATTATTACAGTGGAAAAAAAGATTTTATTAGATATGTATGTTGTTATCTACTGTTAATTTCGTATTATATGTGTTGTTATTTTTAAGATTTATTGCACATTATAGTGTGTAATGAAGTGTTTTTTATATTCTTAAATTTTGTTTATAAAATAAGTTTAAAAAATAAATATCACATTTTTATGTTGCAATTGTTTTGATAAAATTTATAATCTTAATATCTATTAAAATTGAATTATGTACTTGATACATAATGAAAATATTATAATTCAAAAGCACTATTGAGATTATAATTTATGCCAGTTTATTAAAATGTGATTACATTTTGTATCCTTTTACTCAACAAAAATTTTAGTTTCGTTTTCGATTTTATCAAAAATAATAATTTTTACTCTACGGCTGAAGAAGGTTAACTAATACATATCGTAAGCCAAATATTTTATAAAATCGTATATTTATAAAGAATCAAAGAAATAAAGAAATATCATGTATAAGGTCGATATCAATGATTTGTTCTGAGTATGAATATTATATTTTTTTTTATTTTTTATTAAATTTAGTTCATCGAGGTCACAAATAAATTTTAAATATAAGTATAATCAAATAAAAATTCCAATAACATATAAAAATGAGATCAAAATATATTTTTGTGATACAAGAAAGATGAGTTTATTTTATTTTTTCTAATTAAATAATAAGTCCGATTTTTAAAAAACTTTTAAAATTTCTTAAAAATACATGAGTTTTCTAAATTTTTTAATAAAACACTGTTATTTTCTAAAAAATTTGGTGACATATCATTGATATAGAGAAAAATATCAAATAATTATTGTCCTATAGAAAAATCTCGATTATTAAATAATAAAAATATAATATATATACAAATATATTCATAAAATATAAAATACATAAATATATACATATATACATAAATATATATATATATATATATATATACATTGGTTTACCAAATTGATGACATGACTAAGGGGGTGACGGTTTCCACCGATATTACCCCAAACGAAGAGATTGCGATTTCTGACGATTGGTGGCAGTTGATAAACTGATTGATAAACCCGCAGCGAAAGCAATTGCAACCAAACTTCAAAAATCAAAACGCTGCTTCTGACCTGCGATTTGGTGGCGTTTCAATACGTTTATAGAAAAAGACTAAAATACCATTGGTAAAAATAAAATGAAACTCTAACTCTCTTTTTCTTTCTATCCTTCTCTCTCGTGGTTTCGACATTGCCTTCTGTGTATCACGATTTGTCTTTCTTCCTCAGATCACTAGGGTTCACCGGAGTTTGTCATTTCCATCGTTTCTAGGTATGACTCTGTTTTGTTTTGATCCCTTTTTTCCTTATGTTTCTTCTTTTGGATTTGTTTAGATCTTGGGTATATCCATCCACTGGCTATGTTTTTATTTGCGATAACAGTTCGTGGGTTGTTGTTATGATTCTCCAGAAGGAAGCTAGCGATTGAGAGTTTTGGATTGTATACTTCACCAAAGAAAAATTCCTGAATTTTTTGTGAATATGATTTGTGTTGGTATTTTGTTGTGAACAAAGAATATCATTAAATTATATTATAAGTTGTCTTATTGAACACTGATCATCTATCTTCCGTTGACAATCGATCGCTTGTCATAGGCTAGAGGGACTTTGCGCTAGGACTTGGACAATATCTATTCAGTTGGAGTAAATATTATATATGAGACCAGATGCAAATGCATGCAGCAAATCGTCGGAGGTATCCTCAGTGTTTTTGAAATAGAGAGAGATAATGTCTTTTCTTTGATACTACCCTAGCACTTGTTCAGGGGCCTTGACTAAGCACTCTTGGAAACACACCCAACACTTCCTGTCAGCATCACATGTCTGAACAATGGAATATATGGCAACACATATAAGTTTTATCCAAGCAAATGAATCGACAATTACAGTTTAAATGACATGAGACGACACCTCAAAATCATCCATCAGGGATTTCATCTTGTCATTGACTACTCTCTTCGATACCAGGGATTCACCCAAATTTATCACTTCATATTCTTGCCATAGACTCCTACATGTCACCGCAAAAAAACATATGAACATTGAATTGAATAACAAATGCTCTACTTAGTGCATACAGAGTACAGACCATGCATGCATCTGGCTATTAGAAATCGAGATTGTGAACAATTGTATAAATGATCGGACAGTATCTACATACAGATGTGATACCATTGAGTATCTTATTTTACAGAGAAATCCCTGAGAAATAAAAAATACAATAATGCCATTATTGACAGGATTTGAGCTAGACGTGTCGATAATAATGCTCAGCTGTTGACATTCACTTTTGTGATCCGAACGCCAATGCAAATGCAAAGTCTGCAAGTGTGAAATAAGTATAGGGGAGTTGGAGATTGAATTTAAGTAGAAGAAAAGAAACACCTTTTAAAAGAAAACATATTCAGCCAAATTGATTTTTGGAGCTGTTTCTACATATATTTTGTCGGGCTTTACTTCATTCTGACCCCTTTGAACCAATCGAAGGAGCCTTGGGGAGGAATCTTAACCTTTGTGGGAAAATCGGGTCAACTATTTGCAAGATTTACCCCTGTTTTATGAGAAGATAGATGGTGAAACCGTTCATTCCCTTTAACAAAAAAGAAACCGTTCATTACATCGACTTCATTACATCGACTTTTGAGCAATCTTATTAAATATCATATAAGATACGAATAATTAGAAATCAATCAATAAATATGCTTAGTAGTGGGGTAACAGATATGACTTCTACAAGTCTTGCCCGTTTTTAATTTTTTTTTATTCATGCAAGTGCATGTAATGCCCATATTGAAGTTATATATATATATATAATATTAATATATATATATACCAACAATAAAGTTGATCACGCTGATAATTTTTCACATCCCGAACATCCACACAAAAAAATCCATACATTCTATATTGTTTTTTTCCTATATTTTAAATTTATAATAAGTTTTACATACAAACCAAATCAAATAAATATCTCACTAATATATAGAACTAATGCCCAAATATTATTTTATATAATAAAGAAAAAAAATTTAGTATACTTATCATGAAATCTATATTTTAATAATATATAAAAGTATTACATAATAAATATGAGGGTTTTGAATTATAATAATGGTTTGATGTTTTTTGTGATTCTCCACATCAAGTAATTTATAATAAATTTTTAAATGTAGAAGTTAATGCTAATCTAATTGATTGTTCATGTTTTATCAACCAATCCAAATCTAGTCGAGGACCTGCAATTTTAAGGAGACATTAGATGTGTTGTATGGTTAAATATTTTTTTATCAAGACAGATCGTATATCCACCATTACTTGTATATCTAGAACTTTCAAACCTAACACAACATACTTCCAGTAATGCAAATTCAAATAAGGTTTCTAAAGATAATTTCAAACATGAAAATCATAATTAGGTTATCTTTAATCGTTTCTCCAATTGCAAACGGCATGTAAACAACTCAACCGGGGTGGATGGCACGACATAGCTCTTTAGTACTTGGCCCGAATCTCCCAACATATACGTCTAGTGTATGCTAATTTAGAATAAAATATTTTGAAGAACCATAATAATATAACATCATATGATTATTCCATATTCGATTGAATTTAGTAAAAAAATAATATGGAATATTTATTTGTTAAAAAGAAAATGTGTTTTTTATTAGTTTTTATTGTAATATAATATTTTTAATATAAAAGCAAATTATTTATTAATACCATCTTTTACTATTTATCAATACGCGACGGTGATTACAATGATATATCAACTCAAACTGTTAAAACCAATATATATATATATATAAATATATATATATATCATATGAACAACGTATACATATATATTTAGACGATGATAATGAAAGAGACAAACAGAGATTGAGAGAAAATGAACTAACTTTCGCCACCATAGCTTAGAGGCGGATGTGTCATCCTTAACGACACGCTTATCCTTAAGGAAGTGACCATTTTTTGCTCTGACCAATATAGCTAAAGCTCCGGTTGATGTAATGAATAATCATTTCTTGTATTTTATGGCCTGTGTGTATAGCTTTTCCGGCAATATGTATGTAGCACGTGCATGAATTTCAATGCATTGTGGCTCACTGCTATTGTCGGTGTCGACACGTGCACCACCTTCATCGCTAACTCTGATACCCTCGTCGGATCTCCCTTCACCACCATCGGCTCCTTCTCCCTCGTCATCGACACCATCGATGCATTGCATGGATGCAGATGGATCCACCAATACATATACACATACATATATGTGTGTAGTGTGATGATGATGATGATGTTACTTAACGGACCGCGACATCGTCATGACAGACATCCTTCTCCTCTTCCCTCTACTTCTCCATCGTTATCTTCGACGGTGCCGCTTTGTTATTAACTCAAACTACAACAAATCTAAGAGTCGGAGTAATGAACAAACATTTGTGGAACAACACTTCCTAAAATTGAGATTTATGTCTAGTCGACTAAAAACTTGCAATAAAAATGGCCATATATATAACCCATAAATATACCATGAATATGATCAAATAATGAATATGACGTTCTAATGACTATAATACGTGTGGTTTTTTATTTTCCCTTATTGGAGTACTAAATATTATTAATTTCTTCATTTACTCTAATTTATTCGTGTCAGTTTCTTTTTTATATAATAAATATCAATTAAATATTTTAATTACAATATTCTATTGAATTTAGTGACTAATAAACGTTTTGTAGTTTTCTTTTTCAAATTCTATTAAATATTACTAATTTTTTCAGTTACTCCAATTTATTCTATAGGAATATGATAATTTCTTTTTTTATATATAATAAATATCTATATAATAAATATAATGAAACAATATTCTATATAATAAATATCTATGTATATAATAAATTAATTTCACTTCTACTTTCTTTTACCATCGGTACTATGTTAAATTGTTAATAGGCAACAAAAAAAAAATTGAAGAGGTTTACCTCCACACTCTTTTTCCCAAACCATATACCTGTAAGTATTTCTTCTTTCTCCACTGTCGGGCAAAAATGTGGAATACGTAGCAGTCCCCACCATATTATCCCCTAATCATTCACAAGGCAGACCTGTAAAACGTAATACAAATATTTAAATAATACACAATCCTAAGCTAATAATCTAATTCTCCAAAGAGGGCATAAGCCCAGTAAGTAACTATGAATGTAAATACAAAACATAGTTTTATAGTCTCCTCAGATTTTCCATACAATCAATGCGGGGTATGGCACGTCTCACGTTCAAGTGAGTAACGTAAATGCAATTGAAATGTAATTTAAAATGGTAATAATGATCTTATTAAACACAAATTGAATTTTTCAATTTTCTCAAACGTTACTTTTTGTTAAAATTGAAACGTGACTTTTTTCACTAAATATCATAAAATTTTAAATTTACTCACCATTAATAACAATTTCATTTCTATATAATAAAATTCTTTTAGTTTTTTTAAGTATAATATTCTATTCGTATTTTCATTTTTCTTATCCATTCCTCAAGCTTTTTTGTAATATTTTATTTTGGTTTTTTAGATAAACTACCAAAATATCAAATAAATTTTAAATAGAAACGTGTCAAATACAAATAACTTTTTGTGTAATGATCTAATTAAATTTTTTGTTATTATATTTGTCACCTATTTTAAAAACAATAATATATAAAACTAAGGGTAAAACAGTTTTTTTTAATATAATAAATATGAGTTTTTCTTTTTATGTGATGATCTAATCGTATTTTTTGTTAAAATATTTATTAAATATAATAAAGATGAGTATTTATTTTTATGTAATCATGTAATTGCATTTTGTGTTAATATGGCATTCACCTATTTAAAAAATGATTTTTACGTACTAATGGACATTTTTATAACCAAATAAGAATTAATTGTCCAATAAAATATTACACCATCATAAGATTATTAACAAAACCCAATCAAAATTTAGAAAACTTCCACCTAGGATGCTTAGGTGGGCCAAAAAGATCACCAATCCAAGACCAAAATATTCGGAGGATTCTTCTGACCAATGAAAAATATATAATTGTCAGCAAAGTTGTTTCTTTTTTTTTCTCTTCAAATCCAAAGAATTCTTATTATTTTATACGTAGGTTATCAATTCTGCATTATAAAAAAAAGGACTCAAATCATTTTATCGACATGAGTGTTTTATATCGAAAAGGGTCTAACTATTTGAAAATCTTTTTTTGTATTAATTTTTTAATTAGACCTCACCAGAATCCTTTAAACTCCTTTATTAATATATATAGATTTCAATCATCCAAAATTTTCAAGCGGTTTAAATTTTTTAAAAACTAAATTTTCTGAAATCGAATCAAATTTAATTTAAAAAAATCCAAAAAAATTAAAATTTTTTAAATAAAAATTAAAACCGAAACTGTACCGAACCAAATATAATATAATAACCGATTGATATCTATTTTTATAAAACTGAAAAAAAACCAAACAATTTTCACTCTGAACCGTATATTGAAACGCCTACCTCTATCTGCAATACTCGCGAGTTTCTGTCATTTATCTCTTTTTGCTTTCTTTGGCATTTTCATCGTATTCTAAATCAAGGTTGACATAAAAAAAATCTAAGGGTTCGAGATGTCGAAATTGAAAAGTTTGTCACAAAAATTAGGATTAGTAAACGGTAATTTTAAAATATAGATATCTAAAATTTAGATGATGAAACCATTTATCAGATATGTAATGTATAAATATGATAGGAATATCTAAAAATCGGGTTTAAGATGGTACAGCGGCTGGCAATTAGAGTTTGTTTATTTAGTTAATAACTTAATCAATCCGAACCAAATAAACGAATAAGATATAAAACCAATTGATTATGATTTCTCTAAAAACGAATTCGAATCTGAATCGAATAAAAAAATAGTCAAAAATCCTAAATTCTTTTATAAAATAAATTTTTTATCATAAATGAATGGTTATATATTTTCTAAAACCGAATATAAACTAAATCCAAACCGAAATCCGAATAAACCATCTTTTAGGCAACTAAACCCCTTTTATACCCTTTGGCTAAACCAAATGCTCTGGTTGACGACTTCTGTGCAATAATATGAGTATCTTCAGAACAAAAAAATGGTTAAAAAGTGTGAGTATATGTGTATATATATACACACTTTGGTACCAACTGAATATTATATTTGAATATTTTGAACATCTAATATATGCAAAATTTAAATATCTAATAACATGAAAACAACTGTAGATTTTAAATCTCGAAATCCATAAACTATGGGTTTAAAATCGGAAAACCAAAATCACACGGATATATATATGTCCTTATAATTACAAATTTACAATTATCAGAAGAAAAACACAAGGGAAAAAAACAAAATATTAAAAAAAAACCCAAAAAAGGATCGGGAAGAAGAAGGCCCGCGACCGCGAGCGTTGGATCGGATTTCTTCGTCCTTTCACGTGACGATGATAAAAAACAAATGATCATCTTCAGCTCTCTTCCAGTTTCGATTCGGACTGATCTGCCCGCGAATCAATCTCCTTTTGTTGTCTCTGATCTCTGAGCGACGCCGCATCTTCCTCGCCGGCGGCGGCAACAATCATGGTATGTTATCCCCGGACACTTTCTTCCTCTGACTCCTTCGCTCGATCGCTGCGTGTTCGCTGGACATTCGTTTGGAGCCTTAAACCCTAGCTTCCGCATTGTTTCTCTCGAAATTAGTTGATGTGAAGAAAAATGTGACGGCAGAAATCTGAAATGATTATGCTGATGCCGTTATTATCCCGTCGAATTTACCTATATGCAGTCTCGGAATCCGGACGAATCCGAGATCCGATTGATTCATGGATTAAATGCTGGGGGTTTTGAATTTTGTTCTTTATTTGATTTCTTGAGATACGCTTTGTCTGAACTTATATCTTGATTTGCACGCTATGGCTTGCTTTCGATCTTCAAATTTATTTGATATGTGTTATTCTCTAATATGAAGTTATGATGTTTGAATGGATTATGAAGGCAAGGCACAACCTACGGATTTGTATACATCGTACCAATTCCTTTGTATATGTGTGGATATGGGTTGAGCTTGAAGCATTTGACTCGTCTCAGGCATGTTGTTAAAAAATGTGTTGTTTTATCTTCTTGAAGCAGGTTGAGAGGAGAAATAGGCGTAACCAGGCCCTACTTTTAGCATATCAGAGTTTTGGGCTTGTGTTTGGAGACTTGAGTATTTCTCCTCTTTATGTGTATAAATGTACGTTCTATGGAGGATTGAAAAGTTACCAAACGGAAGATACAATATTTGGAGCATTTTCTCTGATATTTTGGACCATAACTCTCCTCTCACTTATCAAGTATATGGTTTTTGTATTAAGCGCAGACGACAATGGTGAAGGTGAGAACACGTTGTCGGTAGTTTAGTTCACTCATTTATTTTTTGTCCTGTTACGTTACATGGATCAGAACTGCATCTGCTGGATTTATGTTGCAGGTGGAATTTTTGCCCTGTATGCCCTTCTCTGCAGACACGCAAGATTCTCTTTGCTTCCGAATCAGCAAGCGGCTGATGAAGAGATCTCTAACTACTATGGCCCTGGAGATGCAAATAGAAACTTGCCTGGTTCTGCCTTCAGAAGGCTTATAGAACGACGTAAAAGATCAAAAACAGCTTTGCTTGTCTTAGTCTTAGTAGGAACTTCGATGGTCATTACCATTGGTGTCCTCACACCTGCAATTTCGGGTAAAAGGACGCCCCCTCACTCTCAATTCTGCCTGGCCTTATAATATGTTACCATTTTGATATGTTCAAGTGAGCATCTAAAATTATCTCTCTTGCAGTCTCTTCATCCATTGATGGGCTTATAGCCAAAACAAGTATGAAACACAGTAAGCAACTTTTGCAGTCTCTCTGGCTTTTGTGTTACACATGTATCCGGCTTCAATCTGATCCTCTCTAACCAGAAATCAAGAAAATTCTCAGCTTATACATGAACATATTCAACACTATGATTTATGATTCTACACAAATGTCTTGCCTGCCCAGGTACCGTGGTCCTGATTGCATGCCTTCTGCTAGTTGGACTTTTTGTTCTGCAGCACCGTGGCACTAATAAAGTGGCCTTCTTATTTGCACCTATCATGATTTTATGGCTGTTGTCCATCGCAACGGTTGGTATGTACAATATCGTGACATGGAACCCCAGAGTATACCAAGCTTTGTCTCCTTATTATATCTATAAGTTCTTTAGAGACACGGGAAAAGATGGCTGGCTATCCCTTGGCGGCATTCTTTTATGCATCACAGGTAGTATTTAACCTCATCTGTAAAGTAGATTGAATTAATTTGTACTCTGGGCTTGGGCTCCCATTTCATCTCGGCTTTTATGAAATTTCAGGAACGGAGGCTATCTTTGCTGAACTTGGGCAATTTACTTCTGCATCGATAAGGGTATGCACAACAGCTTTTATATTTCTTAAAATCAGGCAGATTAAAGTTTGGATACAAGTGCATTCGTTAGCAGTACTTTAGAGGCTGAATCTTACAAATATAAGATGGCAATCTTTCCATAAGAACAAAAGTATAAGAAAATGAATTAGAAAAAGTAGCAAATGCTGTTTCAGCGTCTGAGGACTGCTGTAAGCATGAATGTATGCGATGTTTTGAAGCCGTTATTTTATTGAAACATCTCTGTTCTATTGAAGAGAAACATCCCTGTGTTCTACTTCACATAGTTTATTTGAGAAAAAAGAAAAAAAACCAACATTTTGCATTCTCATATGTTTTGTGCAGTTTGCTTTCTGTTGTGTTGTTTACCCGTGCCTGGTGCTTCAGTACATGGGTCAAGCAGCCTTTTTATCGAAGAATTTCTCGGATCTACATGTAAGCTTTTACGCCTCAATTCCAGGTAAGAATTTGGACTAGCTTTATTTTTTGTCTCGTTATTCTACTTCTCATCATGGATTCCACTATAGCATCTCAAAAATCATTTCAATTGCCCAAAAATAAATGAACTAAAACCTAGAAGCGTGGATGTGGTTTTAGCGGCTCAGTTATGGCTTTATCCATGTTTGCTTTAGAAGCAAAGGCTTTGGCTTTGATTGATGTAGAAGCATTTTCTTTATTGACATATAGACGGAAAGTAATACTTGTGATTCCCAGGGACTTAATCGCTTGTAAAAACGATATTCACATGCCAAATGGTTCCGTAATCTCATCTTATGCGCTTTCGTTTCTTTCTTTAGGTCCATTTTTCTGGCCAGTTCTCATGATGGCAATGCTTGCTGCAATGGTTGCTAGCCAAGCCGTCATATTCGCCACATTCTCGATTGTGAAACAATGCTATGCGCTCGGATGCTTCCCCCGCGTGAAGATCGTTCACAAACCCAGATGGGTCCTTGGCCAAATATACATCCCTGAGATCAACTGGGTTGTCATGATCCTTACCCTCACCGTCACCGTTAGTTTCCAAGACACTAGACACATAGCTTTTGCTTTTGGTAAGGCCAACTTCTTTAAAATCAAGTTAGTTTTTTTCTTCCTTTTGATTTTTTTTTTCTGTCCACTGGAAAAACTAACTCTCTTTTGTTCGCAACAATTCCCAGGGCTTGCCTGCATGACTCTTGCATTTGTGACTACGTGTTTGATGCCGCTCGTCATCAACTTCGTCTGGAATCGTCATCTCATTTTCTCCGTCCTCTTCATCCTCATTTTCGGGCTCACAGAGTTTGTCTTCCTCTCCTCCTCTTGGACCAAAATCCCAAAAGGCGGTTGGTTCACTCTCCTCTTGTCGGTCATCTTCACTCTAATCATGTACGTATGGCACTACGGCATTCGGAAGAAGTATCTATACGACCAGCACAACAAGGTTCCCATGAAATCGATCCTCACCCTTGGCCCGAGCCTCGGGATTATCAAAGTCCCTGGCATCGGTTTGATCTACACCGAGCTTGTCAGCGGTGTCCCAGCCACATTCACTCACTTTCTGACCAACTTACCTGCCTTCTACCAAGTCGTCGTCTTTGTCTGCTGCAAAACCGTCCCTGTACCTTATGTTCCACACAAGGAACGGTACCTCATAGGCCGGATCGGCCCGAAAGCATACCGGATGTACCGCTGCATAATCCGAAGCGGCTACAAGGATGTGACCAAAGACGGGGACGACTTCGAAGACGAGCTTGTGATGAGCATAGCGGAGTTTATACAAATGGAAGCTGAAGGGTCAGGAACAAACCCTGACAGATCCATAGACGGAAGGCTAGCAGTCGTCAAAGCATCGAACAAATTTGGGACGAGGCTTTCCCGATCGATATCGGAGGCAAATTTCGCAAGCAGCAGCAGCTCGGGAAGGCAGACGACGGTAACAAACAGCAAGTCGCCAGCATTAGTGAGATTGAAAGCAGAGTACGAGCAACAAGAGTTACCGAGGCTGAGCATGAGGAGGAGGATTCAGTTCAGACCGATGGATAAGAAATTCCGGGAGCCGCAGGTAAAGGAGGAACTGTTCGATCTCGTGGAGGCGAAGGATGCGGAGGTAGCGTATATAGTAGGGCACGGGCACGTGAAGGCGAAGCGGAATTCGACGTTTCTGAAGCAGTTGGTGATAAACGTCGGATACTCATTCCTCAGGAAGAACTGCAGGAGCCCTGCTGTTATGTTGAACATCCCTCATATCTGTTTGATTAAGGTAGGCATGAACTATTCCGTGTAAGACCCTTTTTTTTTTTAGTTTTGGGTTTTTGGTGTTTTGTCTTTTGTTGTCCAAATTGCTGTTTTGGGGTTTGGTGGATGAAATGAATTAGTCTGACCATTCACTTTGTTTTGTAATAATTCTCTTCTTTTGGTGGGTGCTTATGTACACTCTTGGTTTACTGGCTGTCATGTTGAACTTTTGGGGTTTACTAACTTATCTTGATTTATCAGATAAAATATTGCCATGATTTGATTTTCACTTGAAACAAAATAAAAAGTAGAGAGTAACAAACTCTCCATCCCTTTTCTATTTTGATTTTTCAACCAAAATATGACTATTTTGGGGTCATATATTAATCATCCAAAATAGTCATATTTTTATTAGTGAGTAGGCCATTTTCTACTTGGGATCATATTGACAATCACATTTTATTCCCCCCCCCCCCCCCCCCCTTT